CACCAAATTGCAACACCCGTGCCACGGGCAGGGACACCGAGCGCTGTGCCAGGCTGCTCCAGGGTCATCCAGCCTGGCCTGGAGCACCTGCAGGGATGGAGCTTCTCCAGGCCGGTGTGCTGGGCTGCTCCGAGGGTCCTGCAGGGCTCCCTGCCCTTCCAAATCCCTGGGAGGGACCAGACCAAGCCTGCTGCTCTCAGAGGATCCCCCTTGGCCAAGGATCAGGTTTGTGGCCCTTTCCACACTGGGGCCTGTGAATCTCCTGCATTCCCAGGGCCAGCCTGGATTGGCCTCTCTGAGCCCTCCAAAACTCCCAAAGCAGCAGCCAAAACCCATCTCAGGCCTGATGCTGGACAGCAGGGAGGTGTTTCTGCCTGAGGGTTTGTGGAGAGCTCTTCTCACACATGCCCAGGTGCTTGGGATGGGGTTTTGCTGCTGTTCTGTTCCCCCAGGGGCTGTGCTCGGTGGCACTGTGCATATTTTGGGATGAAGGGTGAGTGTGACACTGTGGTGGGGGCAGCTCCCCTCATTCCTGAGGCTGTCCAGGCTCATCTCTTACCTGCTTTTGTCTGTGCTGGCACAGGAAAAGCAGCAGAATTGCTTTCCCTCACTGCCAGTTGGCTCCTGAAGTTCAGCTCAGCCCAAATGTGGACATTGTTCCCTTTTCCCCCTTTTCACAGGGGTAAAAAAGCTGCTGAGGAATCACAGCTTTCCCCCTGCACCAAGCCATGGCTCTGGGGCTGACTTTCAGCAGTTGAGTGGCTGCAGTTCCTGCAAGTGTCAGCCTGGTTGGGATCCAGCAGCTGGAATGGGATGTGGTGGGTGATTGGCACACATTTCTCTCCTCCTCTCGCCTTGATAATGGAATTTTTGGCAGGAGGCTTCACCCTGACCTTGCCATCCTGGCTGGATTCCGTCGTGAGCAATGGCACTTTCATCTTTCCAAAATTCCCACCGTCCTTCCAAGCCATGAAGTTCTCCTTTCTCATCCCAAAATAAAGGACTGTGATGGTTATGGTGAGGTGGCTGCATTTCAGCAGTAGCTGAAAGGCCAGGGATTCATCAGGAGAGAGGTTGTTATGTAATGTGAGGTTATTTGACTTTATTTTGTGGAGACAAGTGCAGGGGAGTTTTATTATTAACCAGCAGTGAAATACCTTCCAGGTGTTGTTTGGACACTGGTAATAATTATTATACAGGAGGAGTGATTTCAATATTTGGCAAATTAAATATATAAATATATAGCCTGAAAAGAGCCTAAGACAAAGGAAAATGTTTTGTATAAACCAGTAATAATGATCAGCATTTCAAAATGTGGAATAAATCCCCCAGCAAATGAAAAGAAACCCCTTTCTCTCAGCTTCATTTCCAAAATATTTCCATCTGTGCTGATTCTTGTTCATGTTTCTCACACAAGTGATCCTGGTGTCTTCACAGCAGCAGGAATTGCAGTGCTGGCACCTATTTTATGGCACAAAGCTGTGTTGTGCCAGCACACACCCACTTTATTCAGAAAGGTGCTGCCAACAGCCCCCAAAGCATGCCCTGAAGTTGGATTTTCTGCTGAACCTTGAAATTCTGGATAAGCTGTGAAATGTGTGCTCTTTGAGGCTCAGTAAAGGAGGTGTGAGGTGGTTTTTTTTTCCAAACAATTATTTCTTGTCTCTTTTCAAACTGCAGAAGCATTTAGCTGTCACAATTTGACTCCAGGTTGTGTTTTCCTCCCCTAGATGTTGCCACCAGCAAGGGCAGTGGAGGGAGCTGTGTTTTTAATGAGCTCCCCGAGGTGGTAGGAAGAACACAGGACAGAGCATTCCCCTTCTGTTCAGTGCCAGGTTGGCTTTCTTCTTTGTGGTAAACTCTTTTAATTATAAAACTGAAGCATTTAGGATGTTTAGGCATTGAAATCCTGCAGTGGGAGCCTCTGAAGGCTTCAGGAGAGCTTGCTTTTAAATAATCATTAATGCACAGCTGCAGATGGGGAGTTGTGCTTTGATGTCTGAGGTAATTGAATCCAATTGAAAGCTGGGCAGTGTCTGGGCTCTGTCTCAGCTCCTCAAATCGTTCTGGAGGTTCTCAGGGAGGTGAAATATTAATGCTGCTGTTGTTTTGTGTGTGTGTGCAGGTGGCCATCCCTGCTGAAGTACTACAGCCACAGTGACAGTGTCAGCTGGCTGGAGGAGTACAAGGCACGGCACAACGCGGGCCTGGAGGCACAGAGGATTGTGGCCTCCTTCTCCAAAAGGTTCTTCTCAGAACATGTAAGTCCTCCTCTCTTTGTGTGTGTGTGCAGCAGCCCTGCCACCTGTCCAATAGAATCATTAATAAAATCATTAATTGGATCATTAAGTTGGAAAACACTTCCAGGATCAAGTCCTGAACTGTGTCCCTCAGCACCACATCTTCATTTTCTGAACCCTTCAAAGGACCTTTGAAAAACCAGAGCTGACATTCCTAAATTCCCTCAGGAAAACAAATCCTGCCCCTCTGCTAGGAGAAGCTGAGAGCAGCACAGGGCAGGTGTCTGTAGGGCTGCTTGTGCTGCTCTCACAGCTTCACATGGACAGAAACCAGAGCTCAGAGGGGCTGAGATTTCTCACAGCACCCAGGGGTGGCATCTGGAGTTCACAAAGATCATCATCATCATTACTATTACTGTTCTTTCAGAAATGTTGGGGCTTGCAAATGATGCAGCCACAAGAGCCCATGTTCTACTTGTGTTCTCTCACAGCTTTATCTGCTGGACAGAAACCAGGGCTCAGAGAGGCTGAGGTTTCTCACAGCACCCTGGGATGCCATCTCAAGGACACAAAGAACATCATCATTATATTATTATTATTATTATTATTATTATTATTATTATTATTATTATTATTATTATTATTATTATTATTATTTTATTTTTATTATTTTTTTTTTTATTATTATTATTATTTCAGAAGTGTTGGGGCTTGCAAATGATGCAGCCACACGAACCCATGTTGTACCCTTGATCTGCTGCCAGGAGGGTTTAGGCTGAGCCCAGCACTGGTCCTTGCCCCAATCCAACAGCAGCTGCTGCCAGGAGATTTTCCTTCCAAGGCTCCAGAAAACTGAACTCCTTCAAAGGACAGCAATGGCACCACTTCCCTAAGCAGCTTGTTCCAACCCTTTCAATTAATCAATTTTTCCTAATATCCACCCTAAACCTCCCCTGGAGCACCTTGAGGCTGTTTCCTCCACACTGCATGAACATTCACATCACCAGGGTGTATTCTTCTTTAAAAATCCTTAAACCATTCAAAAGGTGTTTATTTCCCTTTTTAAAAATGTTTTTATCTAGTATTTATTATTATTTTTATTAGGAAAAGGTTCTTCTTCCCCCAGAGGGTGCTGAGCACTGCAAAGGCTCCCCAGGGCAGTGGGGACAGTCAGAGGCTGCCATAGCTCCAGGAGGGTTTGTACAGCACTGCCAAGGGATGTGATGGGATTTTGGGATGTCTGTGCAGGGTCAGGAGATGAATTGAATGATTCTTGATAGCTTGGAACATTCCATGATTCTATAATAATTCAAATATTCACCATCGTTGATTGTGATCAGTTCTTTTCATTAGTTTATCCTGCCCCTCTCTCCACATCACCTCAGCTGTGCACTCAGAGATTTTTATATTTCCTGACTGTGTAAAATGCTGAAACACAGCCAGAAGGGGAGAGAGTTCCAGATCCAGAGGTGTGTGGAGTGCACACACCCTGGGGTTGCACTCAGCCCTGAAAGCTCTTTGCTTTGTGCTGGGAGCTCAGCCCTGGCTCTGGGAATTGTGAAGGCCACAGGGTTTTGTTGACACAAAGCACAGCTGCTGTTCTCACTGCAGACCTTGTGCAAGGACGAGTTCTGAGAGCTGTCACAAGCCCTTTGAGCTCAGGAGCAAAGCACAACAGGGCCTCTCAGTTGCAAAGTGTGTTTTTGAAGTTCTCCAGCCAGCCATGACCCTGAAATGCTTCTGTGTTCAGTGGGGAGAAGGTGAAAATGTGGTGGCTCACACTGACACGCACATGAGGCAGGAGTTACTTGGCTGTTTGTGGGTTTTGGCAAGCTGTACAGCTGGGTCAGCCTGGAATTGTGTGAAATCAATATAAATACTGCCTGTAACTTTGGCTGAATTCAAAATCCCACCCAGGAGCCACTAAACAGCCTCCCTTTGATGGCTCCTGTGCAGAAGGAAGGCAGCAGGGCCAGGTGGGTGTTTGGTGCCTCCTGGCTGCTCTGTTCTGCAGCTGCCAGACATTTATCCATGGAGAATTGTCACAGCATTAACTGGGAGAAGCAGCTCCTGGATTCCTCCTGTTTTGATCACATATGCAAAGACCATGGAGAGACCATTAAAAAATACCCAAAGGCCTCATGATGAGAACCATCTCCTGTGGGGCCAGAAACTGCAGCTTGAATCCCTGCTCAGAGCTGAGAGGAGAAGGCTTTCAACCCATACATGAGCCCATATCCTGTAGTGAAAAACTTGAAAGCCTTTTTTTTTTTTTTTTACAGTTCAGCCAAAGTTTAAAAAGTAATTCTGAATTCTGGAAGAAGATAGCAGTTCTGAATATAGATGCAGAAGTGGTTGTTGCAAAAAATAAAGGCTCCTGTTCTTCATTCCTCCACCCAGGATGAATCTCTTGCACAGGGGTTGTATGGAAGGGTTCAGTCAAGCACAAGCAGAAGTTGATTCTACCTTAAAATCACTTGCAGCTTGTGCCCACCCTGCATAAATGTGATTTTGCTGGTGCTGAACTCAGCATCACAGCCCTAAATGCTGCAGAATTGGGCTGAAATTGCTATAGAATGATCATGGGGTTCTCAATGGATTAATAAATCCATGAGCACAAACATCACAGCCCTAAATGCAGTAGAATTGGGCTGAAATTGCTAAGAATGTTCCTGGGGTTCTCAATGGATTCATAAATCCATGAGCACAGACTGGGAGTATTTGGGGAGCATGAGGTTTTTAAGATCTTTAATAAATTGGGAAAAAAAATGGACTAATTTAGTTTTGAGACTTTTTCTGAAGTTATGGGAGAATCTGTTGTGCTGTGCATGACTCTTGTCTGCTTTGGCAGGTGCCCTGTGATGGATTCAGTGACATTGAGACCCTGGGCTGCCCCAGCCATTTCTTTGAGGATGAGCTGATGTGTATCCTCAACATGGAAGGCAGGTAAGAGAGGGCTGAGAAATGACAGGGATTTCCCTCTGTCACCAGTTCAGGGAGAAAAACACCCTGGTTAATGCCTGACCTCAGCTTCTGCCCTTGGTCACTCATTAAACAACACCCCAGGCTTGCTGAGGCCTGGTTTCACAGCAGATTGAGTATTTCCACAGAAAACCATGGAAACTTTGTCCCACAAGAGGAGATCCTCTGGCTTTGTGGTGCTTTTTGTTGTTTGACAGCTCGTGGCAATTCTTGGGACATACCCCATGCACCCTCAGCTCTGCCTGAGCTGTTCCCATCCTCTTGTTCCTTTTTGATTTAAGCCTGGATCAGTTTGCTGAACTGATTTTCAGGATTAGGCCAGAGCACCAGAGGGAAGCAGGAATCCTTCAGGAATGCCACCATGAATCCCTGTACCCTGAAATTCCACCTTTTTCTTTCCTTTTTTGAGCTATAACACCAAATTTTTGTCCCCAGAGAAGCAACTGAGTTGAATTAAGCCGCTGCAAAATTTGCAGTTCTGTAAATTATTCAGCCAGGTGGTAAATAAAACTCGTGGGTTTTATCTGCCTGGGTAATCTCATCACCTTGATTAACACTGGGCAAGATGAGTATGTTTATTTGAAGGTTTTGTTTGCTTTATTTGAAGGTTTTTCTGCTGGTACCACCTACCCAGGCTGGATTTGATGTGATACAAAGCTGTGATAAATGTCCTTAATGGGGCCTAATAGCCTTGATTAGAGGGACTGTTAATAGGGCTTGAAAAAACCCAACTGGAATGGCAATCATCTCATTTTTGCCTTTTCCCATCCATTTTATTGCCTTCTCTATTTGAGCTGGGCCTGAGCATCTCTCATTTGACAACTGGTTAAAAAGCTTTTGAGGCTTTGTACTGGCCAAATGCCTCCCCATAAAGCAGAATTGATGCTAATTACACCCTGATTAAGCCGTAGCCAGTGCCATTCAGGAGCATTAGGCTAAATCATCTCCCTGGAAGATGTCCCAATAAAGCAGTTGTCCCTATTGAGGATCCCAGTTTATTGGAAGAAGATAAAATATGATGAGTTTTGATTGCCCTGCTGTCCAGGAGGATGGAGAGGCTTTAGAAAGTGCTGGGGCTTTGCTGTAAAAAGTTTTGGAATTGTGTCATCTACAGAGCAACTGTTGATCTCCTCCTGCCTTTTCAGAGCTACAGAGTTGCTTTTCCTCTGGGGAATTTTGGTTTTCTTCTGAATACTGTTGGACTGACATTCATGTCCCTCATCAATCCATTTTTAATGCTGAGAGGATGCTTTAGGAGTGGCTCTGGAGAGATGCAGTCAGACAGAGGGTAATGTTTTATGAATGAAGTACAGGATTTTAATCAGATATTCCTGAGCTCCTTTAATTAGGATCTGTGTTGTTTCCCATGATAGTGTATCTCCTCAAAAGGATGTATTGGTGAGGGGAGATGATAGGAGCAATGTTTTGCAAGTTGTGTGTGGCTTTTTTGTGATAAATTCCTCTCAGCATTCCCCTTCTGGTTTGACTTTCGGTGACAGTGCTTGTTGAGAAAAACAATAACCCAAACTGTAAACTTGTATTAAAACTTAAACCAGGTTTTCCAACTTAAACCAGTTGTTCACCCTTCAAATACCTATTTAGAGCAATGCTTCCTCTTGTGTTTAACTGTGCAGGAAAGGTCTCACCTGGAAGTACTATGCAAAGAAGATTCTCTATTTCCTACGGCAGCAGAACATATTAAAGAACCTGAAGGAGTATCTGCAGCGCCCCACAGAGCGACAATCCTTCCTGGAGGGTGAGTGCTTGGCACAGAGCCCCTAATGCCAGCTCTCCATCCTGCTTTCACTTGCAAGGAGCCTGCCTTGCTCAGATCCAGCAAGCCCTTGCCTAATGACTCACAGTTCAGGCTGGATTTTGGATCTTTCTGGAATCTTTCCCATCCCCGCTGCATCAAAATGTCAGGATGGCATCAGGTGCTGTCAGTGCTGTGTGCTTGAAAAATCACCCCTGGACAGCTGAGCTGAAAGCAGAAAATGGTAAAACACTGGAATCTTGAACAAGGTGCTGAGAAAATGAGCTGGAGCTTGGCATCCTCATTACTGATATTGTTGCTGTGGCCCCTGGGCTGATTCCCAGTCAGTTCCCTGCTCTGTCCCTTCCCAGGAGCTCCTCACATAAGGGCAGGGAGCAGGCAGAGGGAATTGTTGTAGCCTGAGCACTGGGAGTGTCTCAAGAGCTGAGTGCTGGACTTTGGTGGGAAACAAATCCAAGTCACGTGGTGGGAGGGCACTGATATTACAGCGACCTTAGACGGTCACTGTGGTGAGAGAAGGACGAGAATCTTGTTCCTTGATCAGAAGGCTTGATTTATTGATATAAGATATATAATACATTATAACTATACTAAAAAGAATAAGAAGAGAAGTTGCAGAGAGCAGCTATGC